ACAAGGCTAAATATGAAGAATAACCTAAATAAAAATAATGAAAAGACAAAATTAAAGTTGGAAAACGAAGACGGAAAAAACGAAAGAAACAAAATAAAAGAAGAAAAGAACTGAAAAATATGTGAACAATAAAGTAATCAAAAGGAGAAAACCAGGAAAGACAAAGCCAATTGAAAAACAAATTGTAAATGAAAAAGGAGAAAACCAGGAAAGAAAAAGATGACGATGAAGAGAGAGGAAAAGAAGAATAAATTAGAAAGTTTGATAAGAATACGAAAAAAAAATGGTAGAAAATGAAGGGAAAAATATGAATGAAGTAAAAGACAAAGTAAAAGAAGAAAAAGATAAATTGGGGTTGAGGTTTACAATGTATACTGTATATCTATGGGCGTAAGGATTAAAAACAAAACAAAAAACTTCTTTTAAAAAAAAAATAAAAATAAAAGCAAATTCATAATCAATTTGGAAAATATGGGGTCCGGGTGTGCAGTTTGGGAAGGGGGAGGTTCTAAATTTCTAATGTGGAGATATTGTTTTAGTGTGTAGTGTCTATAGGGGGGGTGTTATATACAGTGGGAGTTTGGGTTTAGGATGTAGGGTTTATATTGCTGGGTGTAGGGTTTTTAGTGCATTTTTAAAAATTTGAATAAATTTTGAAGGATACTAAAATTAAAAATCATTTATTATAAATTTATGTCTACCTTTATAAATTATATTCACAAATATAAAATACTAATACAATTAGAGGAAATTCAGAATCGAGAGATAACAAAACCAAAGAATTTAAAAGATCTCCGTTATATCAAGGTATCAATTATTTTACAAATCTTTGAAAATCTAAACTATCTAATGAATTGACAGTGAAATATAAAACGTAGACAAGAACAAATAAAAATACGAGTAAAAGAAAAGAAGAAGGAAAATTTGGAGAAAAAAGAAGAAAACTCAAAGATGAGGAAAAAGAAATCAAAGAAGAAAAAATGGAGTGTGAAGAGAAAAAATATAAAAAGAAAAGATGATAAAGAGTGAGGGAACCTGATTAATTATACAGGGGGGGGTTATACGGTGGGGGTTTGGGTTTAGGGTGTAGGGTTTATATTGATGGGTGTAGGGTTTAGTTTTTAGTGCATTTTTAAAATTTTGAATTATTACGGAAGAATATCAAAATTAAAAATAATTTATTATAAATTTATATCTGCCTTTCTAAATTACGTTCACAAATAAAAAAAGTAAAACAACTAAAGCAAATTCAGAATCGAAAGATAAAAAACCAATATTTTTTTAAAAGATCTCGACTATATAAAGATAAAAAGATATTTCACAAATCCTTGAAAATCTAAACTATCGAATGAATTGATAGGTGAAATACAAAATGTAGACAAGAACAAATAAAAACACGAGTAAAATAAAAGAACCTGGCGAAAAAAAGATGGAAAATTTTGAGAAGAAGAAGAAAACTCGAACATGAGAAAAAAAAAAATCAAACAAGAAAAAATGGAATGAAAGAGAAAAAAAGATAAAGAAGTGACAAATGAAATAGATTAATATGATGTAAGAGAAGGCGAAGATGATAAAGATAGAGAGAGGGTGAATGATGAAGAAGAAAAACCGAAAAAAAAAATATAACGAAAATTAGAAAGTTCAAGAAGAATAGTGAGTTGGAGGATATGAGAACGCAATAAAAATAAAGAACAAAAATTGAAAGAAAAAGAAGAAGAAGAAAAACATAGAAAGAAGAAGGAAAAAACTCGAATATGAGAAAAACAAAATCAAACAAGAAAGATTGGAATGTAAAGAGAAAAAATAAAGATAAAGAAGAGATAAATAAAACTATAATAATATGATGTAAGAGAAGACGAAGATGATAAAGATAGAGAGAGGGGGGATGATGAAGAAGAAAAACCGAAAATGTGATTATTGTTACGGTGTGTTTGGGTTTATGGTGTAGGGTTTATATTGATGGGTTTAGTGTTATAGTGTGGGGTTTGGGTTTGGGGTGTAGGGTTTATATTGATAGGTGTAGGGTTTAGTTTTTGGTGAATTTTTAAAATTTTGAATTATTATGGATAACAAAATTAAAAATAATTTATTATAATTTAATCTCTGCCTTTTCAAATTATATTCACAAATAAAAAAATTAAAACAAATAAAGCAAATTGAAAATCGAAAGATAACAAAACCAATATATTTTAAAAGATCTCGACTATATAAAGATAAAAACTATTTCATAAATCCTTGAAAATCTGAACTATCGAATGAATTGATAGGTGAAATACAAAACATAGACAAGAACGAATAAAAACACGAGTAAAATAAAAGAACATGGTGAAAAAAAAAGATAGGAAAATTTGGAGAAGAAAAAGAAAACTCGAACAAGAGAAAAAAGAAATCAAACAAGAAAACATGGAATGTAAAGATAAAGACAAAGATAAAGAAGAGATAAATAAAAGTAGAATAATATGATGTAAGAAAAGGTGAAGATGATAAAGATAGAGAGAGGGGGAATGATGAAGAAAAAAAACCGAAAACAAAATGTAAAGAAAATTAGAAAGTTCAGGAAGAATAGTGAGTTAAAGGATATGAAGACACAAGAAAAGATAAAGATAAAAAAATTGAAAGAAAAAGAAGAAGAAGAAAAAGAGAGAAAGAAGAAAGAAAAAACTCGAATATGAGAAAAAAGAAATCAAACAAGAAAAAATGGAATGTAAAGAGAAAAAAAAAGATAAAGAAGAGATAAATAAAACTATAATAATATGATGTAAGAGAAAACGAAGATGATAAAGATAGAGAGAGGGGGAATGATGAAGAAGAAAACCCGAAAAATATGGTTAATGTTACGGTGTGTTTGGGTTTATGGTGTAGGGTTTATATTGATGGGTTCAGTGTTATACTGTGGGGTTTGGGTTTAGGGTGTATGGCTTATATTGATAGGTGTAGGGTTTAGTTTTTGGTGCATTTTTAAAATTTTGAATTATTATGGATATCAAAATTAAAAATAATTTATTATAAATTAATCTCTGCCTTTTCAAATTACATTCACAAATAAAAAAATTAAAACAAATAAAGCAAATTCAAATCGAAAGATAAAGAAAACCAATATTTGTTAAAAGATCTCGACTATATAAAGATTAAAACTATTTCACAAATCTTTGAAAATTTAAACTATCGAATGAATTGATAGGTGAAATACAAAACATAGACAAGAACGAATAAAAAAACGAGTAAAATAGAAGAACATGGTGAAAAAAAAGATGGAAAATTTGGAGAAGAAGAAGAAAACTCGAACAAGAGAAAAAAGAAATCAAACAAGAAAAAATGAAAGTAAAGATAAAAACAAAGATAAAGAAGAGATAAATAAAACTAGAATAATATGATGTAAGAGAAGACGAAGATGATAAAGATAGAGAGAGGGGGAATGATGAAGAAGAAAAACCGAAAACAAAATGTAAAGAAAATTAGAAAGTTCAAGAACAATAGTGAGTTGGAGGATATGAAGACGCAAGAAAAGATAAAGATCAAAACTTGAAAGAAAAAGAAGAAAAATAAAAAGATAGAAAGAAGAAGGAAAAAACTCAAATATGAGAAAAAAAGAAATCAAACAAGAAAAAATGGAATGTAAAGAGAGAAAAAAAAAGATAAAGAAGATATAAATATAACTATAATAATATGATGTAAGAGAACAAAGATGATAAAGATAGAGAGAGGAATAATGATGAAGAAGAAAAACAGAAAAAATATGGTTGTTGTTACGGTGTGTTTGGGTTTATGGTGTAGAGTTTATATTGATGGGTTTAATGTTACAGTGTGGGGTTTGGATTTAGGGTGTAGGGTTTATATTGATAGTTGTAGGGTTTAGTTTTTGGTGCATTTTTAAAATTTTGAATGATTACAGAAGAATATCAAAATTAAAAATAATTTATTATAACTTTATATCTGCTTTTCCAAATTACATTGACAAATAAAAAAATTAAAACAATTAAAGAAAATTCAAAATCGAAAGATAAAAAACCAATATTTTTTTAAAAGATCTCGACTATATAAAGATAAAAACTATTTCACAAATCCTTGAAAATCTAAACTATCGAATGAATTGATAGGTGAAATACAAAACATAGACATGAACGAATAAAAACACGAGTAAAATAAAAGAACATGGTGAAAAAAAGATGGAAAATTTGTAGAAGAAGAAGAAAACTCGAACAAGAGAAAAAAAAATCAAACAAGAAAAAATGGAATGTAAAGAAAAAAACAAAAATAAAGAAGAGATAAATAAAACTAGAATAATATGATGTAAGAGAAGGCGAAGATGATAAAGAATTAAAGATAGAGATAGGGGGAATGATGAAGAAGAAAAACCGAAAAAATGTAAAGAAAATTAGAAAGTACTAGAAGAATAGTGAGTTGGAGGATATGAAGACGCAAGAAAAGATAAAGACCAAAAATTGAAGAGAAAGAAGAAGAAGAAAAATATAGAAAGAAGAAGGAATAAACTCGAATATGAGAAAAAATGAAATTAAACAAGATAAAAAATAGAATAAAAAATAGAATGTAAAGAGAAAAAAAAAGATAAAAGAAGAGATAAATAAAACTATAATAATATGATGTAAGAGAAGATGAAGATGATAAAGATAGAGAAAGGGGGAATAATGAAGAAGAAAAACCGAAAAAAATAATGTAAAGAAAATTAGAAAGTAAAAGACGAATAGTGAGTTGGAGGATATGAAGATACAAGAAAAGATAAAGAACAAAAAATAAAAGAAAAAGATGATGAGAACAAATATGAAATTGAAAGAAAAATGAGAAGATGGAATAATTAGAGAAGAATAAAAGGGAGAAGAAAGACGTGATTTTTTTTTTGTATCTCTCTATGCGAATGAAGAAGATTTTGTAGAAGAATGAAAAAGACATAATCATAAATTTTACTAATTACGTTATTAAAATCTTTAATTAATTAATGTATTTAAAAAATATTGTGCCCGCACAAGGTGCGGGCCAACCACCTAGTGTCGAAATAATTTACCAGCGGTTCCCAATAGGTTATCGACACCTGTCTTGGTCGAGAGAGTCGTCAAGAACTCGTCGAATATTTCCCTTGAAATCTGTCGCAACACATTCCCGTCGAACCCTTGTAATAGGTTTATCGACAAGATGACAACAGTCTTGGTTGAGACATCGGTCGAGAACCCGTCCAAACTATGCCGTCGGAAATCCGTGGAAAAATGTTTCGACGGATTTCTGATGGAAAATCAACAACTCTTATGGTCGAGAGTGTAACAAAAACCCATCGAAATTGTCTGGTCGGAACTCTATCGAAATGTTTCCGACGGTTTCTGATAATATTTTTAATGGATTTACGACGGTTTTGATAATGTTTTCAAGCGACGGAATGCAACTTTTAAAATGCAAAAACTAATCGAAATATAAATTAATTTTTAATTTTGTGTTAATGATTAAAACATAAATAATTTTAAGAAGCTAAAATTCAAAATACTGTTATAAACTATATAATTTAATAAATAAAAAGAAAGAAGATGCGGGGCCATGAGTGGGGCCAGGTGATAGACGAGAGGGAGATGAGAGAGAGAGCAAGTGATTTTCTTATTACTTTTCGTTGGTGTCTTATATCTGTTACAATAAAACCAAGACCCCCTATTTATACTAAGAGTAAGTCGGTGGAAATATGTGATGAGTCTTCACTTTGTATTTATCTCAACACTCCCCCTTGACTCATCATCAGCATTGTGAAGTTGCATGCAGCCTCGTTAAAACCTTATTATGGAAAAACCCAATGGGATAAAAACCATAAGAAGGAAAAAGAGTACCGTGAAGCAAACTCCCCTGAAATAGATATGGTCTTCTCTTCACAAATCTTGCAGACGATGCATTCCAATACTTTGAACGTGCTTCTTGAACACTGTTGTAGGAAGCGCCTTTGTGAAGAGATCAGCTGCATTGTCACTTGACGAACATACTGAATATCCACTTCTTGATTTTTCTCGAGTTCTTGAGTGTAGGAGAAAAATCTTGGAGGGATGTGCTTTGTCCTGTCGCTCTTGATGTAGCCTTCTTTGAGCTGAGTGACACATGCAGAATTGTCTTCGTATATGATTGTTGGCTCTTTCTTTGTAGATACTCCGCTGGCTTCTTGTATATGTTGGATCAAAGATCTCAACCATACACACTCTCTGATTTCCGCATAATTTGAAGACGTTGCAACCAATGTTTGTTTTTGGGAACGCCAGAGATCGCGGTTCCACCGTATGTGAAAACATAACCGGTTTGCGATCGAGCCTTATGCGGATCAGACAAGTAGCCAGCATCTGCAAAACCAACTAAACCAACCTCGGGGTTTCTAAAATAATATAATCTAAACTCAATCGTACCTTGAAGATAACGGAATATATGTTTTATTCCGTTCCAATGTCTTCTGGTAGGCGATGAGCTGTATCTTGCAAGCAGATTAGTAGCAAAAGCTATATCTGGTCTAGTGCAATTTGCAAGATACATAAGTGCCCCGATGGCGCTCATGTAAGGTACTTCTGGACCTAACATTTCATCAGAATCTTCAATAAGTCGAAATGGATCCTTGTTAACATCAAGCGATCTATTGACCATTGACTACAGTCCGTTTATTGAGAGAGAATATTTCATTCTTCATGGCCATTTGCCATTTCTCCCAGTCCGGCCTCTTTTGGCACTCTGACACGGAAGTTGGATCTGGATCATCATTTTCATGATCGATCTTTTTAGCTACAGAAAAAGAGAACATTTCATCATCATCATCTATTTCACTTCTAGCCCATATTTTTCCACTTTGGGCGAAGGAGATGGAGATCTCAAATTTTTCTGTCTCTGGTTCGTCATCTTGACGAACCTCTTTATCAGGTTCTACAAGAACCTGTTCGGAAATGTCTTTAAGACATTTCGGTTCATCAGGAACCTTTACTCCACAATTCTTTTTTTTCGGGGATATTTATCCTTTGATCCTATAGCCTCCCGCGCTTTAATTGAACCGGTTCACTTGCTCTATTCACATCAAAATGTTCATGAGGAACTTCTATTTTTGATGGAGCATTAGCAGCGGGGATATAGGACTTCGTCACCCTTTTCGTATCTGAACTCATGGGCAACTGGTTAGCCAATCTTTGCATATGTATAATTTTCTGAACTTCCACCTCGCGTTGATTAGAAGGAGGATCAAGATAAGCCAAAGAGTGTGTACACCATTTGGTGATATCATTTGGTGATTCTCTCGACCCTCCCCCTAACGCAGGGAATTCATTTTCATCAAAGTGGCTATCGGCAAATCGTGCCGTAAACATATCACCAGTTGCCGGTTCAAGATACCTTATTATACTAGGGGACGAATACCCGACATATATTCCCAATCTCCTCTGTGGTCCCATTTTTGATCTCTGTGGTGGCGCTATTGGGATATAGACCGCACACCCGAATACCCGGAGATGGGATATATTTGGCATATTTCCAAATGCCAACTGTATGGGCGAAAATTTATTATAAGCACTTGGTCTCACTTGAACCAAGGCTCCCGCATGCAATATTGCATGTCCCCATACAGTGATTGGGAGTTTTGTTCTCAAGATTAACGGTCTTGCAATTAACTGCAACCGCTTTATTAATGACTCAGCCATGCCATTTTGCGTATGAACGTGCGGAACCGGATGTTCAACATCGATTCCCACAGACATACAAAAGTCATTAAAGGCTGCTGAAGTGAATTCACCAGCATTATCAAGCCTGACTTTCTTTATGGCATAATCAGGGAAATGCGCTCTCAACCTGATTATTTGGGCAATGAATCTTGCGAAAGCCATATTTCTTGTGGTCAAAAGACACACATTTGACCATCTACTAGATGCGTCAATCAATACCATAAAGTATCGAAATGGCCCGCACGGTGGGTTAATAGGCCCACATATATCACCATGTATTCTCTCTAAGAATACAGGGGATTCATTCCCAACTTTGGCTGGCGAGGGCCTAATTATGAGTTTTCCTTGAGAACATGCTTTACATGAAAACTCCCCCGATTGAAAAATCTTTTCATTTTTCAATGGGTGGCCACTCGTATTTTGCACAATTCTTCTCATCATGACTGAACCTGGGTGGCCAAGTCTTTCATGCCACACCCTAAAAGTGCTAGTAAACATCTGGTTTACTGCAACATAAGATTCAGTCATGTTGATTTTTGTGCAATATAAACCAGAGGACATCATTGGTAATTCTTCCAATGTTTGTTTCCTCTCCGTTGTAATGCAAAGATATTCAATGCCATTTTTGTTTATAGTCTCAATATGATATCCATTTTTGCGGATATCTCGGAAACTTAATAAGTTCCGGTGAGACTCCGGGGAATATAGTGCATCTCGCACTTCAAATTTTGTTCCCCTTGGCAATGAAAAACTTGCACTCCCAGAGCCAAGTATTATTTTTGCACTACCGCATATAGTACTCACGCTTTCAGCGGAGTCTTTCATTTTGAGATAGGAGAAATACTTCTTATCTTTGAGTATTGTATGTGTCGTAGCACTGTCTGCTAGACAAGTATCTCCATCCTTAATCTCAAATTGTGGCACCATCAGGGCCACTGAATTCTTTTGAAAACTTTAAAATAATAACAAAATTGAAAGGCATAAATTGAAAGACAGAAATTTAGATCTGGGAGGAGACATAGTCATCAACTCCGCTACATAGAGGAGGTTTTCACCATCAACTCCGGAGGAGGATTTCCCTACCACTCCATATATATGATCTGAGGGACATAGTCTACCATGTGATCATTTGCTCGGAGTAGGCAGAGCCTAGCTTCCCGGCTTTAAGAAATTTATTTGATCGAGGAGGCAGAGCCATCCATGACGATCAGCTCGGAGTAGGCAGAGCCTAGCTTCCCGGCTTTAAGAGATTTATTTGATCGAGGAGGCAGAGCCATCCATGACGATCAGCTCGGAGTAGGCATAGCCTAACTTCCCGGCAGAATAGACAAAATATAATTTTAAATAAATTTGGACAGAATTTAGGCTTACCTCTGCGGGAAGAAGATAGATCTAGATAGATATAGGGTATAGAGGCAATCGTGCTGATAACGTGTTATAAACTATATAATTTAATAAATAAAAAGAAAAAAGATGTGGGGCCATGAGTGGGACCATGTGATAGACAAGAGGGAGATGAGAGAGAGAGCAAGTGATTTTCTTATTGCTTTTCGTTGGTGTCTTATATCTGTTACAATGAAACCAAGACCCCCTATTTATACTAAGAGGAAGTGTTGTGATAAGACCAATCACGATGACTCATCATCAGCTGAGAAATATCTTTTGTAAACCGACATTAGGTGTCACAATTCTACTTGTGTGGTCCCTCTATATAAAGGGTACTAATCTCTGTAGAGAAATTCATTCGTACAACACAAGTCAATAGAAAAAAGTTATTCTCTCACTCCTCATATCATTCCTCTCTTGTCTCTCTCCTGTCCAGTGGTCCCACCACCTTTCTTACTCTTTTATTTTATTTATTCTCACCTTTAAGCAATATTTTATAATACGTTATCAGCACAACTGCCTCTACGAGCCTAGATCTATCCAGATCTATCCTTATACTAAAAAGGTGAAACTAAATTCTGTCTAAATTATTTTAATTTTAAATTCTATTATTTGTATGTTCTGCCGGGATGCTAGGCCATGCCTACTCCGAGCTGATCGTCATGGATGGCTCTGCCTCCTCGATCAAATAAATTAAAGCCGGAAAGCTAGACTCTGCCTACTCCGAGCAAATGATCACATGGTAGACTATGTCTCCTCAGATCATATATATGGAGTGGTAGGGAAATCCTCCTCCGGAGTTGATGGTGAAAACCTCTTCCATGTAGCGGAGTTGATGACTATGGGTCTGACTGGTTTAACCGCTGCGGTTGCGGTTGCGGGTGCGGGAGTTTGCAGAAGCGGGCGGTTGTGATTAGTAGCGTTATTAAGCGGTTTGTACGACTGGCATAACAATTGAAAATGGATGCGTTTGCGGGTTACTTATGACTGGTTCACTTGCGGATGCAATAGCGGTTAAACAATAAATTAATAATATAAACACATTATATAATTATAAAAATATCAAAAATATTATAATGAAAATTTTAAATTTATGGTTCAACATAATTAAAAATAATTTTTTTATAAAGAATAATATGTGTATAATACTTACGTCTATCTTTTAATTTCTATAATTTAAATAAAAATGTGATTTTATTTTCAAAATATATATTTAATGTGAAAATTAAATTTATTTTACAATTTTATTTATTAGATATATATGTATTAGTATGAAAAGAATATTTATGAAGAGAATTTTGATTTGTAGAACTTATAAATATATAAGTATTATATGATTTTAATGAATATTGACTAAAAGTACTAATTTTTTATTTATATTGTGATTTTATTATCCAAATCTTATTTTTTAATAAATATTATTATTTATTTTCGGATTTTATATAAGTTTGTGTTTTTTTTTTTTTTAATTATCCACCCGCAACCGCCCGCAACCGCAAACGCTTGCGGAAAGGAGCTTTTGATTTTCAGCGATATAGAGCGGTACAGAGTGGTATAGAGCGATTCAAAGCGGTTGTCGTGATTGTTATAAACCGCCGAAAACCGCTACGAACCGCAAACGCTGCGTTTGCGGGTGGTAGCGGGAGAACCAATCAAACCGCAAACGCTATCTCCTCCCAGATCTAAATTTCTGTCTTTATATTATGCTCTTAAATTCAGTCATTTATTTTCTTGCTATTTCAATTTATGCTTTTATATACCGTTATTATGCTGAAATTTTCAAAAGTTTAAGTTTTTGTTATTCAGTTATAATGTCGAATTTGACAAAGCCCTGGACATTAGTGGTAATAACTATTTGTCTTGGACGGTAGGTGCAAAGTTGCACCTAAAAGGAAATGGTCTCTTGAGCACTATCGATAAGTCTGGAAAGACGTCCGATGAGCAAAAGGCGAAAGCCATGATCTTTTACGCCACCATATACATGATGGTTTAAATGATGAATACATCACAAAAGAAGATCATGTGGATCTATGGAACACGCTTAAAGTTCAGTTTGATCATAAAAAATATATGATCTTACCGCAAGCGAGGTACGAGTGGTTGAACCTCCGGTTCCAGGATTATAAAAGTGTTGCTGAGTACAATTCCATTATGTACAACATCACTTCCAGGATGAAAATGTGTGGAGAGAATATCAGTGAATTTGATATGTTGGAAAAAACTCTCAACTTTTCATCCTGAAAATATAATCCTGCAGCAACAATACCGGGCAAGAGAATTCACCTCGTACTCGGAGTTGATGCAAATCCTCCTTGTGGCTGAAAAAAATAATCAGCTTGTGATGTTAAACCATCAGCTCCGTCCAACTGGATCTGCGCCATTCCCTGAAGCGAATGTTGCGTCATCCAGTCACACTAAAAAGCCTGAACATGAACGCAGACACGGCAAAGGCCGTGTCGCGGTCGAGGTCGTGGACGTGGAAGAGAAAGTGATGATGGTCGAGCGGTAAAAAGAAAGGATGAACGCACCTGTTACAGATGTGGCATGAATAATCACTTTGAGCGTACATGTCGTACGCCCAAACATTTAGCCGATCTGTACAGGGCATCACAACAAGCCAAAAATAAGGATGCAAAGACCAAACTTCATCTCTGATGAACCTGGTCCATCCTTTGATGGCTTAAGTGATGATTTTCATCTGGATGTCGCCGACTATCTCGTTGATCCTGAAGAATCAACTGAGCCAAAGAAAGTCAAATCAATGATAGTGTCTTCGTAAAGAAGACAAGAATAACAATCTCTTAATCGTTTTTCTTGTATTGTATAATATATCTTTTGCTAAAAAGTTTTTGATGTAATATATTAGCAATGTTTAATATAAAATGTTTCATATTTTATGAATTTCGTGGCCCAGATGGTGCCACCTTTTGAGATTAAGGATGGAGATACTTGTCTAGCAGACAGTGCTACGACACATACAATACTCAAAGATAAGAAGTATTTCTCCTGTCTCAAAATGAAAGACTCCGCTGAAAGCGTGAGTACTATATGTGGTAGTGCAAAAATAATACTTGGCTCTGGGAGTGCAAGTTTTTCATTGCCAAGGGGAACGAAATTTGAAGTGCGAGATGCACTATATTCCCCTGGAGTCTCACCGGAACTTATTAAGTTTCCGAGATATCCGCAAAAATGGATATCATATTGAGACTATAAACAAAAATGGCATTGAATATCTTTGCATTACAACGGAGAGGAAACAAACATTGGAAGAATTACCAATGATGTCCTCTGGTTTATATTGCACAAAAATCAACATGACTGAATCTTATGTTGCAGTAAACCAGATGTTTACTAGCACTTTTAGGGTGTGGCATGAAAGACTTGGCCACCCGGGTTCAGTCATGATGAGAAGAATTGTGCAAAATACGAGTGGCCACCCATTGAAAAATGAAAAGATTTTTCAATCGGGGGAGTTTTCATGTAAAGCATGTTCTCAAGGAAAACTCATAATTAGGCCCTCGCCAGCCAAAGTTGGGAATGAATCCTGTATTCTTAGAGAGAATACATGGTGATATATGTGGGCCTATTAACCCACCGTGCGGGCCATTTCGATATTTTATGGTATTGATTGACGCATCTAGTAGATGGTCAAATGTGTCTTTTGACCACAAGAAATATGGCTTTCGCAAGATTCATTGCCCAAATAATCAGGTTGAGAGCGCATTTCCCTGATTATGCCATAAAGAAAGTCAGGCTTGATAATGCTGGTGAATTCACTTCAGCAGCCTTTAATGACTTTTGTATGTCTGTGGGAATCGATGTTGAACATCCGGTTCCGCACGTTCATACGCAAAATGGCATGGCTGAGTCATTAATAAAGCGGTTGCAGTTAATTGCAAGACCGTTAATCTTGAGAACAAAATTCCCAATCACTGTATGGGGACATGCAATATTGCATGCGGGAGCCTTGGTTCAAGTGAGACCAAGTGCTTATAATGAATTTTCGCCCATACAGTTGGCATTTGGAAATATTGCCAAATATATCCATCTCCGGGTATTCGGGTGTGCGGTCTATATCCCAATAGCGCCACCACAGAGATCAAAAATGGGACCACAGAGGAGATTGGGAATATATGTCGGGTATTCGTCCCCTAGTATAATAAGGTATCTTGAACCGGCAACTGGTGATATGTTTACGGCACGATTTGCCGATAGCCACTTTGATGAAAATGAATTCCCTGCGTTAGGGGGAGGGTTGAGAGAATCACCAAATGATATCACCTGGTGTACACACTCTTTGGCTTATCTTGATCCTCCTTTTAATCAACGCTAGGTGATTCACAGATACGAAAAGGGTGACGAAGTCATATATCCCCGCTGCTAATGCTCCATCAAAAATAGAAGTTCCTCATGAACATTTTGATGTGAATAGAGCAAGTGAACCGGTTCAATTAAAGCGCGGGAGGCCTAAAGGATCAAAGGATAAATATCCCCGAAAAAAAAAGAATTGTGGAGTAAAGGTTCCTGATGAACCGAAATGTCTTCAAGACATTTCCGAACAGGTTCTTGTAGAACCTGATAAAGAGGTTCGTCAAGATGACGAACCTGAGGGATTTAAGATCCCGAAAGGATCAAAGATGCTTGAAGCATCTAAAGGGCTTTGTTCGGTCAAACTCCAGCGATCACTTTATGGATTAAAACAATCCGGCCGCATGTGGTACAATCGCTTAAGTGAATACTTGTTGAGTAAAGGTTACGTCAACAATGCGATATGCCCATGTGTATTCATAAAGAAATTCTCAACGGGTTTTGTGATTATTGCTGTGTATGTTGATGACCTGAACATGATTGGAACTCAAAAGGAAATTGATGATGCAAGAACTCATATGAAAGAAGAGTTTGAAATGAAAGATCTTGGAAAGACAAAGTTTTGTCTTGGGCTCCAGATAGAGCATTTCCAAGATGGAATATTTTTGCATCAATCAAATTACACCAAAAGGTGTTAAAAGCGCTTTTATATGGATAAAGCGACTCCTTTGAGTGTCCAATGGTCAATAGATCGCTTGATGTTAACAAGGATCCATTTCGACCTCAAGAAGATTCTGAAGAAATGTTAGGTCCTGAAGTACCTTACATGAGCGCCATCGGGGCACTTATGTATCTTGCAAATTGCACTAGACCAGATATAGCTTTTGCTACTAATCTGCTTGCAAGATACAGCTCATCGCCTACCAGAAGACATTGGAATGGAATAAAACATATTTTTCGTTATCTTCAAGGATCAATTGATTTGGATTATATTATTCCTAAGAAACTCAAAATGGTTTAGTTGGTTTTGCTGATGCTGGATACTTATCAGATCCACAAAGCTCGATCGCAAACCGGTTATGTTTTCACAATTGGTGGAACTGCGATCTCCTGGCGTTCGCAAAAACAAACTTTGGTTGCAACGTCTTCAAATTATGCAGAAATCATTGCTCTCCATGAAGCATGTAGAGAGAGTGTATGGTTGGATCTTTGATCCAACATATACAAGAAGCCAAGTGGAGTATCTACAAAGAAAGAGCCAACAAAAACTATTTGAAGACAATTCTGCATGTGTCACACAGCTCAAAGAAGGTTATATCAAGAGTGACAGAACGAAGCATATTCCTCCAAGATTTTCTCTTACACTCAAGAACTCCAGAAAAATCAAGAAGTGGATATCAGTATGCTCGTTCAAGTGACAATGCAGCTGATCTTTTTACAAAGGCGCTTCCACTACAGTGTTCAAGAAGCATGTTCAAAGTATTGGAATACGCCGTCTGCAAGATTTGTGAAGAGAAGACCATATCTATTTTTCAGGGGGAGTTTGCTTATCGGTACTCTTTTTTCTTCTCATGGTTTTTATCCCAATGGGTTTTTCCATGATAAGATTTTAATGAGGCCATATACAACTCTATACTGATGATAAATCAAGGGGGAGTGTTGTGATAAGACCAATCACGATGACTCATCATCAGCTGAGAAATATCTTTTGTAAACCGACTTTAGGTGTCACAATTCTACTTGTGTGGTCCCCTATATAAAGGGTACTAATCTCTGTAGAGAAATTCATTCCTACAACACAACTCAATAGAAAAAAGTTACTCTCTCACTCCTCATATCATTCCTCTCTCGTCTCTCTCCTGCCCAGTGGTCCCACCACCTTTCTTACTCTTTTATTTTATTTATTCTCACCTTTAAAGCAATATTTTATAATATTTTGAAATAACAAATAAAATAAAAAAAGGTGGTGGGGACCACCGGAGAGGAGAGAGACGAGAGATGAGTATGAGAGAGAAGGGAGAAATATCTTTTTCTTTATTAATGTTTCGTTGGTTGTGTGTGTTGTACAACAAAAACTGACCCCTTTATATAGGGAGGGTGAATCAATGATATTGTGACACCTATGAGTCGGTGAAGGAGATAGTTATCTCATGTGATGAGTCATCACTTTTTGTTATTATCTCAACACTCCCCCTTGACTCATCATCAGTATTGCATACGGCCTCATTAAAACCTTAACATAGAAAAACCCAATGGGATAAAAACTACGATAAGGAAAAAGAGTACCGTAATGAAAACTCCCCTCTGGAGAATAGATATGGTCTTCTCTTCATAAATCTTGTAGACGACGCATTCCGATATTCTGAACATGCTTCTTGAACAATGTAGTGGGAAGCACCTTTGTGAAGAGGTCAGCTGCATTGTCACTTGAGCGAACATACTGAATATCCACCTCTTGATTCTTTTCGGATTCTTGAGTGTAAAAGAAAAATCTTGGAGGGATATGCTTTGTCCTGTCGCTCTTGATATAACCTTCTTTGAGTTGTGTGACACATGCTGAATTGTCTTCATAGATGGTTGTTGGCTCTTTCTTTGTAGACACTCGGCTGGCTTCTTGTATATGTTGGATCAAAGATCTCAACCATACACTCTCTCTACATGCTTCATCGAGAGCAATGATCTCCGCATAATTTGAAGACGTTGCAACCAAAGTTTGTTTTTGGGAACTCCAGAAGATTGCGGTTCCACCGTATGTGAAAACATAACCGGTTTGGATCGAGCTTTATGCGGATCAGACAAGTAGCCAGCATCTGCAAAACCAACTAAACCAACCTCGGGGTTTCTTGAATAATATAATCCAAACTCAATCGTACCTTGAAGATAACGGAATATATGCTTTATTCCGTTCCAATGTCTTCTGGTAGGCGATGAGCTGTATCTTGCAAGCAGATTAGTAGCAAAAGCTATATCTGGTCTTGTGCAATTTGCAAGATACATAAGTGCCCCGATGGCGCTCATGTAAGGTACTTCAGGACCTAACATTTCTTCAGAATCTTCAATAGGTCGAAATGGATCCTTGTTAACATCAAGCGATCTATTGACCATTGGACAACTCAAAGGAGTCGCTTTATCCATATAAAAGCGCTTTAACACCCTTTTGGTGTAATTTGATTGATGCAAAAATATTCCATCTTGGAAATGCTCTATCTGGAGCCCAAGACAAAACTTTGTCTTTCCAAGATCTTTCATTTCGAACTCATCTTTCATATGAGTTCTTGCATCATCAATCTCCTTTTGAGTTCCAATCATGTTCAGGTCATCAACATACACAGCAATGATCACAAAACCCGTTGAGGATTTCTTTACGAACACGCATGGACATATCACATCAACAAGTATTCACTTAAGCGATTGTACCACATGCGGCCGGATTGTTTTAATCCGTAAAGTGATCGCTGGAGTTTGACCGAACAAAGCTCTTTAGATGCTTCAAGCATCTTTGATCCTTCTTGGATCTTAAATCCCTCAGGAATTTTCATATATATCTCACTATCAAGTGAGCCATATAGGTATGCAGTCACAACATCCATCGTATACATCTCTAAATTATTAAGCATTGCTTGATGTTGCTTATAATTTCTGATTGATCATGCATGTTCTTGTTTGATTGTTGCATGGTCAATATAAAGGGTATGGTAACATTATGCAATGTGGTAAGCCATATTTGAGGTGTCTATGGGTGTTGATCATCCATAGAATAGATGGATGCGGATCATCCATAGGATAGATTGTGTTGAATAGAATCCCTAATGTTTGCTTTGTGGTGATAGCTTGAAGTCATGAGTGACTGGTTTGTGGATGATGAGGGGTCGTGGTTTAGTACTGGGCAAGTATGGACAGCTGAGTCTGGATCGTCGAGTTCAGAACCGTCGAGCAATTCGGAGCACTGGATCGTAGTGACGGACTTGGAACAGCAGACACTAACAGATCATGATAGCAGTAGTGATTGGGACGAGGACGTATACCTCATGCCGAGAGACAACGTGCAGCCCAGCACAACGGTGAATGAGTATAGCGAACATATGACATGGCCAGTACATTACCCTGAGGAGGAGAGAATGGTGCCACCTACTCAGATCATAGAGATCAGTTCAGGCGAGACTACACCAAACTCTTGGGATAGAGATAGTCCACCAAGTGTTCTACCGCATATACCAATGCCGCATGTATTTGCACCGGGAGGTGGAGTATACCCGTACATGCCAACGGAGGATAATCCAACGGACTACATGTACCCGTTCATTACCACTGGCGTAGAAAGCAATGACCAGCCGTTGCAGTTCAAGTCAATAGTGAAGTCTTCAGAAACCAACCTGAAGAACCGGATACGCCGGAACCAACATGGGAGGATTATCTTGGACACCAGAACGTATCACCCACGTACTGGACAAGGAAACTCAACGAGATCGCTGGATATACATCATCTATGGAGCATGGAGAAGGAAGCATACCTCAAGATCAAGGAGAAGCTAATGCGATATGGTGTACAATGTATGGAGAACAAGTTGCACCAAACTCGGTGGCAGGCAATGAAATTCAATATCAAATACCAGATCTTAACCAAACCACGGAGGAAGGTACCGGAGATAAGGAATGGCCACAAGATGATGAAGGTCTTAACTTAGCAAGAAGGTGGGACGAGATAATCGCCACAGAATTGGAGAATCTCAGAACAGAGGGTAATGGTTTAGAGGGAATGGTGTCATGCCAAAGGGGAAGGCCTCCCAGAAGACTCGCGAGGATGAGAGTCCCAGCACCGTCTCAAGTCACGCTGCCATGCGATCAATGTGGAGGGACAGGACATCATAGCCGAGCATGTCCTAATGTGCGAGTTAGATCAAGGATGAACGAAAGGCAAAACATTTGCCTTACTTGTGGAGAGAAAGGCCATTTCTCAGCAGACTGTCCAAGGAACTGCCCCAATACTAGTCAACCCATCCGCTCAACCACAAGGAGAGAGAGGCGACCAGGGAGTGGAAGCCGTAGAATGTAAGATAGAGTCTAGGAACCCTAAACCACATGCCGAGAAAAGGTATTTT